GCTACATCACAGTTAGTCATGGTCGAAGACTTCATTAATAATGAACGGGGCTGGAAGGTGGCAAACCTAGAAGAGCTACTTCCGGAGGAAGTTGTAGATAAAGTGAGAGCAGTCCCAATTCCAGTGGAGGAAGGTTTCCGAGATAGCCTTTACTGGAGATTATCAAAAAATGGTGCATTCACAGTGAAATCAGCCTATGAAAATGAATTTAAAAAACAAGATAATATAGACTTTGAGTGGCTGTGGAAAATCAGTGCGGCAGAAAAAATTCGATGCTTCTTGTGGATCGTCATCAAGAATAAAATTCTAACAAACTCGGAAAGAGCTAAACGTCACCTTACGGAGAATAGTCTTTGCCCCATATGTAATCGCGGGGAAGAAACTGCTCTACACCTGTTTCGGGACTGTTCATTTGCTGAAGAGTGTTGGAGACGTTCTTCATGTCACTTCACCGGTGCAGGGGAGAATATAATTACTTCTTTGGAGTGGATTAGAAAGCAATGCCATGGTGCGCCAGTTACTAGAGGCCGATCTCCGCACGCTTCTAAATTTGCATACATCGTCTGGTATATTTGGAAGGCACGCAACTCACTAGTCTTTCAAGAAACTCTGCCGGACGTGGATCGGGTAGTGGGAACAGCCTTATTTAAAGCTGAAGAGTATACTAGCTCGAGTATGATTGATGGAATTAAACAAAAGAGTGTACCTAGGACTATCAAATGGCAACCACCAGAGGCAGGAACCTTCAAACTCAACTGTGATGGATCATGTCGAGGGAGTGAAAGGGATGCCGGGGCAGGCGGTGTTATTCGCAATCATAAAGGAGATTGGATTTGTGGATTCCTTTTAAATATTGGGAAAACGGATAGTTTTCAAGCGGAACTTTGGGGATTACGGCAAGGTCTTTTGTTGGCTCGTGATCTAAATCTTAGTCGGGTCATGGTGGAGGGCGATTCAGAAAGCATGATTAAAGTGGTCAGAAGTACGGAAACGTCTCATAAAACAACTACTGGGGTGCTCATCCGTGATTGTAGGAGATTACTTGAGGATGACCGTTTCATTCTTTTTCAACATACCCTACGGGAGGGCAATAAATGTGCAAACATGCTAGCAAATGCAGCGCATGAGGCCATGAAGGGTCTGTCTATTTTGGAAATAGCACCGGAATGGATCAAACAAACTTTGTGGGAAGACGCAAACGGCCTAGAAGAAATTAGATTCTGATTTTATTTTTGCTTTCCTTCCGTTGTATCAAAAAAAAATGTGAATGATAATGGCAACATAAAAAAAAAAATACAATGCTATAAAAATGACATTGTGAGCATTATAATGAAAGTGACAATGTAGTAACAATGTCGTAACTATTTTACAATGTCACACATTGTTATTATAAACATTGCCAACACAAACACTTGAATGTTACAATGTCATGATAACAATGTAAATGTTATGAAAAATGAAATTGAGATAATGACAATGTTAATAGCAATGATAATGTCATTGCCAATGCTATGTAAAATGACATTGAAATCAAGACAATGTCAATAGCAATGTAATGACAATGCCAACAACAATGTAATGTCATTGTCAATCTTGAATTCTTGTTGTCGATAGCAATGTGATGACAATGTCAGAAATATTTCTCAATGTAAAACGTAGTCATCATAAATATTTCCAAAAATAAACAATGTCAAATATTGTCAACAATATCAAAATAAAAAATGTCACAATATCAATTCAATCATTGTAACAAAATATTCGACAATGTCAATGTTATAATGACATTGTGATAAACCGAAAATGTAAAATAATAACAATCACATTGGAATCAAACAATTATGAAAACAATGTCAAACATTACAAGATGTCATAATAATAAATTCTAAATTTGACAATGTTGATATCATATAGAAATATATGACAATGAACATCAAAGTGTGACTAAAATAATGACATTTGAATCGAACTTTATCTAAAAAGTACAAAACAAAAACAAAACAAAACAAATATCTCTACAAAAGTAAGAAGTTGAAACAAAAAATTTGAAGAGGAGAAGAATTAGAAGGCATCATATGACCAAGGCACCAAAGGTCATTCCCAGATCTCTAAAACAAATACTTCGTATTGAAAAAAACAAAGAGAAAAAAATTTATCCGCCTCCTGTAAAGGAAAACCAAAATTTGGAAGGCACCGTATGACCATTGACCAAGGCACCGAAGTTCTCATTCCCAGATCTACCCAAGAGAAGAAGAAAAGGAGGATATTTGCATATCTCTCCAAGAGAAGAAGAAAAAGAGGAGGAAGAAGAAGAGGGCAAGAAGAGGGGAAGAAGAGGATAGAACGTACACAGAGCCTCTCGCCGCAGCTGTTGTGCAAGCTCGCCCTTTCCCTGCAGCTGTTGTGCCGCCGCATCTTCTCCGTCGAGCCCGCCCTCTCCCCGCAGCTGTTGTGCTGCCGCATCTTCTCCGTCGAGCTGCCGCTGCCAATCACCGTTGGAGTGTTGTTGTGTCTTATCTGTCTTGAAGCTCCCCTGCTTTGCTGTGGAGAAAGAAGAGAGAACGTACGACGAGTTTGAGCTGCGGAGGAGAGATAGAGATTGTCGTGAGATGAGGAAAAGATAAGGTTCGATGTACTATCCGAGATACAAGGGTAAATGTGTCCATATCTATTAAATGAAGTCTTATTCACGGATTAAAAAGACGTCACTCTTATTTAGGTTCATAGATTTTTTTAGTCCTATTCTAGACCATTTCTAATAATTGCCACCCAAATACTACGTATTCATATATCTCTATCACATACGCATATGATCTTCCTAAATGTTCATAATAAATGTGACTTTTAATTCCCACGCCAAAAATAGACGACTTTTCACATCAAACCATTCCCAATTTCCCAGCAACCAGGTGAAGTATCAAGTACGGAGTATGAAATATTGAGTTTTGACATTTTTCTTCCCATTGAAATTCGGCGTACACATTTTTTTGTACATATATTGGTCAATAGACATGTTTTGTCTGTCAACAGACTATTCATGGATAAAGAAACAAATATGTACTCGTGTATACAAAAAAATGTACTCCCTCCGTCCCATTAGAAGGTTCTCACTTTCCTTTTTTGGATGTTCCATACAAAGGTTCACATTTTCATTTTAGGAAACAATTAATAATCTTAAGTGACAAATTAATCATTAAATATTAAAAACAATACAATTATAACATCACAATTATCATTACTAGCTACATTATAATATATATCTATTAAAATTGTTTCTCAAAATATATTCAAAGTACTTTATTTAATTATTGTCTAAATAACCGTGCCGTTTTATTATTAGAACTTTCTAAAGGGACGGAGGTAGTATATAACAAGAAAGGCCGTTTAAAATTTCTGATTTGACCATCTTTTAATTCATAGGAGGATCACCAAAAATATGGATTTCAAATGTGGATCAACGGTTCAAAAAGACTGATACAGTAGTGGTCAATGCATCTCTCTGGGAAGAGGCAAAAAACATTTAATTCAAACTTTGATTAATTTCCAAAAGTTCCACCGACATAGAAAGGTAACTTTAGAGCCTTTGTAATTAGTTACCATTCCTCCTTTTTTGAATTATCTCTAGAAAACCAATTGGTTTAATTTTATCACTTTAATATCGCAGTACTTATAATATTCCATGCAAAATAAAACGATATAAATTACAGAGATAGATTAGTCGTTTTATAAGGCTCCATACTTCCATAGTTCTTGTTTGGAACAATAACCGATAACGATATGTTGAGTAACCTTTTTGGATAATTGTACAACCTACAATATACTCTAATTTAATCCAATTGTTATCCCAACACCTATTCGTGCAATTATTTTTCATTTATTTGCAATAAAATCAGCTACCAGCTCAAACGGATAAGTTAACCTGTAAGAATCCTAGCAGTAAAACATGAGCTTTCTCACACTCTCAGTGAGTTTAGGCAGTGGCATTGTCTTAGGGGGAGCAGCCCGAGTGACCGTAGAGGTTTTCAATGAACCGTTCGTATCGTGACGTTCAAGATATAGCCTACCCCTATACGCGGCAAGGTGAGCATAGTAAACAGGCGGCACCAGTGAAACAGGCTTGGTGCACCTCACAAAGGTGTAACACAGATTATACACCAACTTCTGAAGCTCGTCAGATGTGAACCGGTTTTCGTCCCATAATACATGGTAATGGATTGGCCGGCTTGTTCCCTTTATTCCCCAATGGCTACAAAGGTAGAAATCAAACTCAGTCGGGTGAGTGATGACCGTGTCCACGACTGTGCCAGGTTGGACGTTCTCATCAGAGAACCGGTTACCAACCGGTTCATCGGGGAGAAATAGTCGGGTGTGGTGTCTCTTTTGGACGACCACGAATGTAATGGGCGGTTTGTACCCCGGGAACCTCGAAAAAGCCTTTTGGATTGCTTGGAGCTCCTCTTCGACAACTTTGGAGAATTGTGATTCACTAACTCCATCCCTAAAAAAGATTATTCTCTTAGGGAGCAAAAACATCTCTTCATAGAAGTCATCAAGAATTTCACCCACCATTCCACTTAGATCCTCAATGATCTCTTGCCTATGTGTTTGTGACTTCATTCTCGACACGTACTTATTGGATTCCGGCCAATTCACGCTCCCAACCACTGCAGCGACCGAGGGACTCGAATCGTCCAATGGGTGCGGGTGGGTGACATCAGCGCCCATAAAGATGACCGGATCATCGTGCTTGAAGATCCTTGGGATCTGACAAGGTAATGAGTTGAAGAGCGCAACGGTGGACCCACCAACTTTGGCATTGATCTTGAGTGCCAAATTTGCAAGGAAATGTGTGGAAAGGTTGTTAAGGTTTGGGTATAAGCAACATTGTGAAACAACTCCGATTCTGGTCTCGGATATCCGTTTCAAGTCTCCATAACCTTTGTGTTTTCTCTCCATTACACAAATTAGAAGCTGCAAATTGTCCATTGCGGCTCTGTGTATGCTCTTGAGCTTAGATTCAAGTTGCTTTACATTGTTGAGCATGTGTAACGGCTCGAACTGTGGGTTAACCACCGCAGTTTTGTTAAGGAAGATGCCTAATTGCTCACACCTGTTAGATAGCTGATTTACAAACTTCGGTATGTTGGACTTCTGATCTGTGGTCCCGCCAAAACTTATGAGTGCCCATCTCTCAACTCGAGTGCCTTCTAAGACATGACTATCCTGAAGGTTCCACTGCCTATCGCTCCGGGAAGGAACAAGATGTCTGACCTGTCCACTATCCCCAAGTTTCAGCTTGGGTGGGTGCAGGATTCGCCCGTACAGTTGAGTCATTTCTTTTGAAATTTGAAGCTTAAACTCTGCTTGATGATTGCCACTGTCAACAAAGAAACATTTCCAACTCTAAGACCAGCATTGCCACAAAACTTAGGTTTCTATTCAACCTGATGTAAGAAATAGCTCAAAGTAGTATATGTCTGTTCAGATGTTCGTTTCAGATGCTTTTTATACGGAGTATTTTCCAGATTTTATATGTTAAAACCTGAGGTTCTTCTATTAACATGATATGATATGAAAAAAAATCATTCTTACAATCCTTCGTTGTTTAGACTTATCAAGATTGCAATACACTTCAGAGTTTTCAATGTAATATCATAACATCAAATTAACACTTGAGTTTTGTCATAAAAGGTCAAGAGGGTTTTATATAGTGTATATTTTGTGTTGGTATGACTAAGATGGATTAACTAACACAGGTATGAATCATGTCTTTCAATAGCAAAGCAAAAAATGATACCTTGTTGGTCCAACGGGTCCTCTCATGACTCCATCTATAATTGTTTTTCGTTCTCTTGGTCGTTCACACCCCATTTTAAGAATGCGGACAGTCTGTTCATCAGAAAGTTTCCCGAGAAATTTCTGCCCTTCACAAACAACACATAATTCCATTGGAAGATAACAAGGTCTACCCCTACTAGTCAACAAACATGGCAAGTTCCTAAACTGTATATCATAGTTGTAATGATCCTTGAAATAGTTCACTAGTCTTATACTCGTTCCATCCCTATCTGAAAACAAGAGATCCTCAGTAATGTCTTCAGTTAAACTATAGACGCGATATCTCTGGATTGTTTCTCTATGGCAAACAAACACCCTAATGTTCTTTAATGCTTTCTCCACTTCCTTCCTCTCGTGACTTCTCAGCCTTCTTGTCTTCCTTTGAGAAAGATTGTGCAGAAAATCGAGGCGTTTTTCCAAGTAAGGGATCACTCCAATACTCTCATGGAAAGCTGTCATGGATAAATCCACATTAAGAGCAAGGCCTTGTTTGGTTGGCCTAAGACTCTGAAAGAATCCCCTCAATGCCACGGCCCCGCCTCCTATCTCCTTAGCCCCTCCCATTGAACTTGAGTAAAATGATTTTCCGGATTCCAAACACTTCTCCTTGGCACTTTCCCGCAGCACAACATCTAATGCATGGAGATATTCCCGAGGAAGTGGGCTCCACTCATCATTGTCCCCTTCCTTGTTCAAGTAGCTGTTGAGCTTCACTCCATCAAGCTTAGATACTAATTTGATGTTGACTCGAAACATCTTGTTAGATTTTCCATTATCAATGGGAAGATTAACGTATAAATCAATCCTGTCATCTTGGAATTCAACTGGACTGTAGATGGTTCTTGTGCCATCATAAACCGGGTTAAAACCAGAAACAACAGATGAGTGGTTCTCCACTATGTTCTGTTTGATCATTCGAGCAATTTCCTTGGATGGAGTGGGGGAGATTTCAACATCGTAATGGAAAATCTGTTGCTGAGGGTCGAATCGAACAAGGAAATGATTAGCAAGCAGAGAGATAACCTTCCCTTCCACACCACCAGAATCTGGTCTTCTTGCCATCATCATTGATACTTGTTGTGTTGCAGGTCTGGCCTTCCTTCCATACAGCTTCTCAGCATTTGTTTGAGGTACCATTGAATCTGCCTCATGTTGAATTTCACATTAATACTATTAATATCAGAAATTTTTTGAAAATTCCTTAAAACATTACTCCATGGCACCAAAAAGTTCATTTTTTATTTTAGCATGAAAAAAATTGACCATGATCAATTATCAAGGATATTACCACGCCAGTGGCAGTTGGAAATTGCGTTTGGTAATATTTTTATTATAAATTTAAAATTTAACATTCTCATACCATGGGTATTTAATTAGTACGAGTAATAGTTATGGAAAATCCAAAAAGAAATACCATTCAAGAATCCGTTTTATCTTTGGGAATCAAGATTTACTTTTCAGTAACAGTGGAAAGGTGCAAGATTTACCAGGAATATAAAACAAAGAAAACGAGAGTTTAGATATGTAGGGATGGGTACCAATAGTTTTTGCCAGTGCAGAACTGTTATCAGAAAAAGTTTATTGCTTTCTGTTCACTACATAAAGTTTATTGCTTTCTCAACAACCACAATACATACTCCGATTATCCAAAGAACTTTCCAATTTCCATGTATGCCATTTATGTACCATAGTATGAACTATGTACACTAAAAAACCATGCGCTCAAATACCGAACAGGGAAAAAGAAGGTAAAACCATTAACCAACCTGACGCAGATGAGAATTCAGAAGAGTTGGGAAAAGAAGGAGAGGCTGGAGAGCTCTGCTTCAATGGAGGAGGTTTCTGGAAATGGGATTTTGATGTGAAAGATTGGGTCTGAGGGAAAGGAAGTTGGAGAGGAAGGAATGTGGGAGGGAGGGGAAGGAGAGGAGGGTAATTCTGGTACTGGTTCTCATTAAGAAAACCAAACCTAAAGCTGCTGCTGTTTGTGGGGTGAATGCTGGCACCACCAGACTCTCTGAAACTCCTTGTTTTTGTGATGCATTTTGAGCTGGTTGTGGACTCATGTGATCCCTCTTCCTCCATGGCTGTGGGTGAGACAGAAAAGGGGAATGGGCAAAATGGATTCTTTGCATGATAGAGATATTGTTCTACTTGCTTCTTCTGATATCACTGTGGAAGCAACACAGTGATTGCAGAGACAGGGGTGGGTGGGGTAGGGTGGGGTGAGTTTGATTTTGGTTCACGTGGTTTCGTCAGTTGTAGTGATGGAAATTTTGATGCAGGTGAATTTCTTTTCTTCTCTTCGGACTACTTGTGATTATGACTCCATGTGACCACGTACTAACAAAAAAAGTCACATAAAGCTTGCCTTATTTAAGAGGCTTTGTCCGGCAGTCGTTATTTGGGGTGATTTCCGGTGGAGTTTTTTGATGAAGTTTTTTGAACATCTTATTTAGTAAGTCTAGTTTACTCATAGCAAATTTTAGCTAAAACTTCAATCGGGAAGGCATTCAAATGAATTCTTGAAGAAACTGCGCTTTTAAATGCACAGTTATCTTCAAGAATTCATTTGAATGTCTTCCCGATTGAATTGTTAACTGAAATTTGGTATGAGTAAATTAGACTTAATGAATAAGATGGTCAAAAAAATTCATCAAAAAATTCCTCCGAAAACCACCCCAAATGGCGAAGGCCGGACAGAGTCTCATAAATAAGGCCTTATTTGACTTTTTTTTGTTAGTACGTGGCCTTATTTGCCCTTTTTCCCAATAAATTATACTCCGTATCATTTAGGAAAAAATAATGTTTAAATCCATTCTTATAGTCACTTTTATACTTACTTATGTTTGTGAAGATATTTTTTGTTTGTGATTCCATTCATAGACAATATTTGGGTTGTACAAAATTTGCACAAACAAAGTAACACATATTTCGTCTGTGAACCAGATTCACAGACAAAAAAACTTTCACAAACATGGTGGGTATAAAGTGAGAAAAAGGGTGATACATCAAGCATTGTTGTTTCATTTAACCCGTCAATTTTTGTCATCCCTTGTCCTCAGCCCCAAGTTGCATTGTCACTCCTTTTATTTTAGGGAAAAAGGACAAATAAGGTCTTCTACTATTACAAAATCGTCACATAAAACAATGTACTCAATAAAGTGTCATTTAAATACTTGTACTATTAAAAGCAATCAGATGAGTCTAACGACTCCTTAACTATCTCATAATCCCGATTTTAGCTTACATGTCATTATTTTTGCCTTATATATAAGTCAATCATAGCTAAATATTCCACGTCAGCATCATAATCTATTTTAAAAAGATAATCAGATGTACGTTAAAACTGGGATTAAGAGGTTGTTAAGAGGTCGTTAGGACTCATCTGATTGCTTTTTATAAGTAGATGTATTTATATGACATTTTATTGAGTACATGACCTTATGTGACAATTTTATAATAGTAGAAAGTCTTATTTGACTCTTTACTTTTTGTTATTATTATACAATTCAGCGCGCAAAATCAGAAATTACATGTTTGGTTAAAAAGTTAGCTGATAAAACGAAAAATAAAGTCACCAAACAATGTCAAATTTTAAGATAACCAAAAATGAATGAGATGACAAAGTTGAAAAAGACAAGAAAAAATAATAACCTAGTTGAATCTTATTGACTTGTATATAGGGCTGAGCAAATCCCGAACCGACCCGCAAAACCCGACTTTTTTTTCGGATATTATCCGATTGGATACGGATATTCGACCCGAAAACCCGAAACCGAAAAATCCGATTAGTATTGGGCCTAGACCGGGTGGCGGGTAGGGTTTGTAAAATCCCAACCCGACCCGCACGAAATATCCGAAATATATTAAATTATGTAGTGTGTACTTTGAATATGTTAACTTAATATACATGTGTTCAATTATTTGTGTAATTATTTGTGCAATTTATGTTAAATTATTTGTGTAATTTGAATGTGTAGTGCACTGTGCACTAGTGTGTACAATTTTTGTCAAAGTGACATTCCAACACTTTAACTATCCAATTATAATGTGTTTTAATATAACCGAAATATCCGAAATATATTAAATTATGTAGTGTGTACTTTGAATATGTTAAATTAATACTTGTGTTCAATTATTTGTGTAATTATTTGTGCAATTTGTGTTAAATTATTTGTGTAATTTGAATGTGTAGTGCACTAGTGTGTACATTTTTTGTCAAAGTGACATTCCAACACTCTAATTATCCAATTATAATGTGTTTTGATATAACCGAAATATCCGAAACCCGATCCGATATTTGATAATATTCGACTTAAAAATATCCGAAATACCCGATTTGAAATATCAAAGGGTCGAGCCTAGTATTTATATTAAAAACCCCAAACGGGTATGCAAACCCGACCCGCCCGAACCCGACCCGTACACAGCCCTACTTGTATAACTGATTTGGCCAAAAGTACACTTTAAATCTTATTGATTTGTCTAGTATTGGATTCGATTGTTGCAAACAAGAGCGGGTTCAATGGCAAGATATTTGATTTACAACTGTACGAGGTCTTGATGACATTTTTTTCCGGTTTATCAGGTTTATCAATCATTTTTTTTATCAAACACGTAACTTTTGCTTTCGTGCGCTGGATTATGTAATAATAAGAAAAAAGTAAAGTTGGAGTCACTATTCTAACTGTTTTGGCTGAAGTTACTGTAGATGACTATTTTAACTATTTTTACATATATTTTTTATTTATTTTATTGATAAATATATTTCAAAAAAATTCTTAAAACATCAGAATCAGCCAATGCAGTCACTTCAGCCAGAACTTCATAAATTTCAGCAAAATCCGTCAAATCAACCGATTTTCGTGTTACCAAACGGGTTATAATTGTGACGTTAGTTATTTCTAGCTAGGTCATTTTTCAATAATATGACACTAACGATTAAGAGCTCGTTTGGTAATATAAAAAATCGGTTGAATCGGCTGATTCTACTAAAATTTATGAAATTCTGGCTTAAGTAGATGAATTGCCTTATTTTGCTGATTTATGGGGGGGAATTAAAATATGTTTTATTAATAAATAAAGAAAAAAAATTGTAAACATAGCTAAATTGTCCTCTACAGTAACTCCAGTCGATATAGTCATAAAAGTAATTCTAACCTTACTTTTTCTTATTATCAGACAATCTAGCGCCTGAAATCAAAAGTCACGTGTTTGTTGAAAAAGTTGATTGATAAGCCCGATAAGCTGAGAAATAGTGTTACCAAACAAGCTCTAAACGAAGATAACAAAAAAAATGAATAATCCCAACAAATCAATCAAATTTGAAATAATACATTTTTATGGATTAATTTTTAATAAGATAAAAACAATATACTTATTTGGAAATACCTTTAAATTGGGAAAATATAATTAAATATTTTAACCCACAAGTAATTAGTGTTACTATCATTACTATAATTAGAATAATATTTTTTTTCGAAGAAGAGGGCTTAAATTGATATTAAAGCATTAGCATTCGGAAAGGGAGTCAAAAAGTAAGGAACCACATCCAACCGTCGGCTAGGGCTGGCAATATCACCCGCACCCGCGGATATCCGGTCAACCCGAACCGAAAATATGGATGAAAACCCGAAAAAGTATGGATGAAAAATGGATGATGGGTGGATTGAAAGACGGGTTGGATCGGGTGTGGATGAACACTCATCCAATCCATCACCCGACCCGTCACCCGCTCTATCCACCCACCCGCTAACCTGCATATAAAAATAAATATATATTATATTATATTATATATAATATCTATTTAATAATATATATAATAATTAATATTCATATATTATTAAGTAATAGATATGTATTTGTTAATGAAGAAGACACATATCTATGAATTGGTGAAATAAAGACCATTGAAGAGTTTCAAAAAGTGGCAGTTGAACTGTAAAAATAGTTTGTGTTGATGCAAAAATGTAGATTTGACAGCTTGAAAAAGTTTCATGTCTATTTTGTTTGATAATCACTTCTTTGTTGGAAACAAATTAATGATTGCAATATACTTAATTGCTCAAGTTTTTATTGTTATTATTCAATGAATTTTTAATTTTTGGTTTTTAATTGTCATAATTTCTATTTATAATTTATTTATTTTGTCTTTCAAGTTAAACCATTTATATTCACCCATTACTCATCTGATTCACCCGATAACCCGCTCATGATGGATGAATTGTATGTGGATGTAATTTCTAATGGATGATGGACGGGTGGGTGGAATATGAAAAATTAAAGGGTGGACGTGGATGAGCCTTCACCCGGTATAAATACGACCTGCTGCCACCCCTACCGTCAGCCCACGAACCAAACTCGGGGTTAATCACCTTCAAAAAAGCAATATAACTCGCTGATCCACTAATGAGCAAACCTGAGCCAATGACGATTGAAGCAGACCAAACCTCACTCAAACCCAATGCAATAGTCTTACAATTAAAAGAAATAACGACAAAAAGAAACAAAGTCTGATTAACAACAATAAACATAAATAAAACAGTAAAATAAGAAGTCTTCTTCCAAGCCAAGAGCACCTCCACCGCCGCCGTCCTTGAACCTTTCGGACCTTCCACGTAGACCGGCGGACCTACAGGAGGTCCGTCTCCTCTTCGTTTTTTGGACCGTCCAGCGCCATTCCTTCCCTTGCAGCATCTCCATGTTGCTCCTCTTTCCAGGTCCTTCTACGTTTTGGTTCCCCCAAGATCTCCTCCAGACTAACAGAGTTTCCTTCCTTGATGGAACTTGTTCCCGTACCTGTAGCAACCTTCTAGTTCTATTTATCCGCTTCCTTCCCTTCAGACATTCCCAGCCCAGTGCTTGATGACCCTTCAATTAGCCACTTTGTGCCTCCTGTGGGGCTGGTCTTCACCCCCATCCCTGCTCTCAGTTCGACTCCATAATTTTTATCAAAAGTAAGGACCTGTTTACTAACAGAAATATTTTCCAGTTTTCCATAAAACTGGAAAACTGGAAAACGGAAAACAGGAAACGTGTTTACCAAAGAAATTCCTGGAAAACTGGAGAAAGGAAAAAAGAAAAACGCGTTTACCAAATCGTTTTCCAAAACGGAAAAAATGAAACATGTCTCTCTTTTCCTTAATGAT